CACTGGTTATTCGGTTTAAAATTGAATCTTCTTCTATATTCACATTGATAAAGAGGGTACCAACTTTAATATTGACAAAATAAAGATCGATAGCAACGATATAGGTAACTAAAACCAAATACTGGTTTCTCAGTTGAAATGTCCCAATAATTGTTCCAATTTTTAAATCGGGCTGCTCACAATCTGTTGTTAACTATCATCCAATTTCTTTGTTACCGCTTGTTGCCAGGATTTTTGAGTCCGTTATTTTTCCTATTTGTATAATCATATTAGCCCCAATATTACTGTCAATCGTAATGGCTTTATTAAAATAGATCAACCTCCACTAATATGGTTGAATACACTAACTTTTTATCTGTTGCTATTGACAACAACAGGTGGATTCCATATATACTGATTTCAGTAAGGCTCTCTACACTGTGTGCCACCCACTGCTACTCCACAAGGCCTTTAAACTTCATATTTGTGGTAGTTTATATCATTGGTTATCATCTTACCTAAGACATAGGTAGCAGAGAGTAGTTTTGGGTGGTCATATGTCTAAATAGTTTCCCGCATTGTCTTGTGTAAAACAGGGGTCACTTCTGGGGCCTTTGTTATTTGTTATGTATATTAATGACATCACCCACCTTGATATCTCTGCCAATATTAGTCTTTGCGCTGACGATACCAAGCTTTATAGGTCTATTACATCTCCAACTGACAATCACACTTTGCAAACTGATCTTAATAAGTTTGTAGAGCGGTGCGAATTTTGGAAACTATCACTCAATTTAGAGAAGTGTAAATATTTTACCTTCACCCTTAAGAAAAACCGTATATTTCAAGCTATAAATATTCTATCAAAGTCTCCATCATTAAAGACTTGGGTATCCATTTAACTTCTAACCTGTCATATAATCATCATATCAATTATATTGTTTCTAGGGCCTTAACATTTCTGGGTTTTATTAAAAGTTCTTGTTATAGCTTCAATGATATTTCTGCAATTATTTCTTTGGATCTTGTTTATGTCAGATATATCCTTGAATATGGCTCTGTGGTGTGGTCCCCTCATCAAAAAGGGCTTTCTAAATATGTCAAATATGTAGGAAGTAACGTGTGCATTGCAATATCGCATGTTATTGCAAACTTTTTAACATTCGTCTTTTATCTAATAGGAGAACAATTTATGATCTTCACTTTTTATATAAAATTATTAATTCTTCTTATGACTACCCTGTTATTCTTGCTAATATTTACTTTTATGTTCCAAATCGGTGTTTGAGACGCAAACCATTTTTTAAACCCGACAGTGGATCAGTCAACTGCAGGAAGCATTCGTCACTTTTAAGGTGTATTATATTATTTAATGATATTTCATTTAAATGTAATATTGATATTTTTTCATCTTTATATATTTTTAAATCAGTACTGTATAATTATTTTTAATTTAATTTTGTTACTTTGTCATTTTTAGTATATGTATTATGTATGTGTTTTCTTTATGTATTGTTTATTTTTTCCAGTTCTGTTAATGGGTTTGCCCATTGACTGTGTATTGAATAAATAAAAAAAAATAGTTGTTATCAGTTTAACAATGGAACACTCAAGTGACTCATTCAGGTAGATAAAAAAAATGTTTTTGAAACCCAGTCTGCTATAAATATAATTTATATAATTCTGAATCCCAATTCCGTGGTTCATAAACAGTAGTCCA